CAAACCAGACAAAGGGTAGAGCCGTGGTAGTCTGGCGACAATATCTAAATTTAAAAGAAACGCTAGCACAATTAAATGACCAAAAATACATCATACTAATTAAGGAAGGTCATTTTTGAAATTACTGTGAGCTTGTAAAATACTATTGAAGATTTAATTGATCATAAAAAGCTTCCCACTAGTTTTCAAAATTTGATTGTAAAAAATCCTAAAAAACAGTGTTTTACCTCTTCACAAAGAAGAAACCCTAGGTCTCAGCCGGCGGCTGCCCCACCAAAAAAACTTATTTCGTTTTTGAGATTAAATTATATATCCCATAGTAACATGTCTACCGACTTTACATTAAAGATGCGAATCACGTCCTAACATCATTCCAAAATTTTCCTCTCATAGGCCATAAAAAAATATTTTTTACGATGGATATGAAGTTTCTTTACATTTCAATTCCTCACCATGAAGGATTTTTCTCATTGAAATAATTTTTAGACCTCAAGGAAACAAAAGATCCTCCTACGCACTTGTACATTTAGCTGAACTAGTCTTAACTCTAACCTGTTCTAATTCAATGGCAACTATAAATAAACTTGTTTGTTTGTAGGTAATATGGAAAACCATTTTTGGACCAGTATACCGGAGAAAGGTCTACCATATACCGAAGGTATATAAAAGATGTTGTTGGTATTGCTTCAATTTGTAGAGAAAACCTTGAATATTGTTATAGCACATTACCTGTTTTTACCTTTGCCGCCAATTCAAATACACAAATTCCAGTGAAAACTTCTTTTCTGGACATTAAACTTTATCTCATTAATAACTATATCACTTCTAGCATTATATTACAAAATAACTGATTCTTATTCCTACCTACATTTTGATTATTCTCATACATATAACATTAAAAACTCCATCCGCTACTTTCTGTTCCTAAGATTATGCACAGAAGTCGAAGGTTTTACTTCCGAAACAAGGAAATGACTAAATTTTCTTAGCTAGAAGAAGAAATCCGAAAAACTAATAAAGCAGCTAATAATCTACGTGAATCATCCGTTCAGTCAGGTTCCAGAGATCACAACGATTGCATTAATCTAGTTTTGACATATCATCCTATCAATATAGCAGCCACGAATGTAATCATGAAGATCGCCCCAGTTATTTTATTATCCACAGACATGATACTAATGTTCGCAATCTTTTGGTACATAGTACATTAACACCTAGTAACCATACTTAAAATTTACTTGGTACCTAATGTTGTGAACGACCCAGATAAGTCACTTGTGAATATGTGAACAATAATACTAAGTATAAGAACTTAAATTTATCTTCCGAATAACACAGTCCTTCACTTGTACATCCCACTGTGTTACGTATTGTATAATATGCACATGTTGTGGACAGCTATATGTGAGAAAAACAAACAATTCACCTCGGGGACGGAACGCGTGAACATCTGATACAGTGACATAGGAAGACATAACGAAGGTCATCACTGTTGTCCAGAAAGCAACATCAATGATTTCTCTGTAAAGGGGCTCAAGTATTCTATTCGGACATTATAGAAAAATAAATTAAATACTCTTTACTCAAACGGTTTAAATGAACGCTCCTTCCTATAATTTTAACATTCAAACTTTACCATCTTTAAAATTTTAAAATTACCATTTATTTGCCTTTAATTTCTATTTATTTTACCTTAAGTTAAAAGTATTAATTTTACTGATATTTTTCTCATTCATTGAATTATATAAAACTATATATATAGACTATATATTATAAATAGACTATAAATTATATAGACTATACATTTATCGTTATACATGTTTATTATAGAACATAGAAATTTTCAAGAAGGGTATGCATTAATATGTTAATCACACTACTTCTGCTATAATCGCTATCGACGCTGTCTGTTGCTGAATTCAGAAATCATCCAGCCAGTTAAGATGGCAAATATCGTAGCGGTCGAAAAACTTTTTAGATGAATCATTTATAACAACAACAATCGTTATGGTGTGAACACTATTTTCAAACTGACAGAGTAAGAAGCTTAAATGTTCCACTTTACAATTTCCATAGTTTTTACAGTTTTTCAACTCACTTTAAGGCTATTAAGACAAAGATGTTAAAAAATTGTATACAAATTTGTATTGTTACGTCTCCGTTTGTTAATTAACTTTCCGTAACTTCGTTCCGACGAAACTTTAGCGACACAAGTCCTTACTTAATAAAACTGGTTTATTCTTTCTGAATATAACTTCACGATACACTTGATTGCAACATTCGCGCTAAACTAACGCTATAACGAACGTTAACTTCGACATCACTTTCTCACTGCAGATCAATTACTCACTACCTACACTCACATTATTATTCCGTCACGTTGTCACCCTCTTTTATATACCAGCTACCCTATATCTAGTAAATGCTAGAGCATTCGCCAAGGTACAGGATAATTCTAGAAAGCAGAGGGCGTGAGAATAGTCACGTGATCTCGCTGACGCAACAGTATTATACATAATATTTTACTTAGCGCTATACAATTCTTCCTCCAGTGTTTGACAATTGAAATTTCGTCATTGCCAAAGTCAGTTGAGAAAATATCCAAGAGGAATGAATATTTTGGTACCTTCACAGATTCCGAATGAAACCTTAGGACACAGCGAATGCAATAAATTCCGTATTGGTTAATATAAATAGTTTTTCGACGACTACTGTGTTTATAGTGTCCCAGTCGGCCTGGTGAGTTCTGTAGTGAGACAACGCGTCGTCAGCAATAGACAGGAAGGAAATCATGAGATTCAAAATCCCTAAGGGACTGAATAAAGAATGTAGTGTTAAAAAATATAATAGACTTAATGCTAATTTACTATGATCGTCTGTTATTTCTAAAAGTATTTAGGGCGGTTGATTGCGAATTACTAATTTCTGAAGCTAAATAAGCTAAAATTGTAGTTTATAATGAAAATATTAACTAATGGTATTCTAATAAAATAGTTTGCTATCTAGGATTAAAATTCTAGTTTTGTTTACTGTTGATATTGTGTTTAAATGATTATGTTTAAAATTATATATATATATTTTCATAGCTCTTCTATCAAAAAAAGACTTACACTGCTAGAAACCGAGTTTCGATACTCATGGTGGGTAGAGCACAAATAGCCCATTGTGTAGCTTTTTACTTAACTCCAAAAAAACAACAAATTTTCTAAAAATAATTTAATATTGTTGTTGTTATAAACTAATAAAGAGAAAGTAATAAGTAGATTTAGTTGGATGGAATATAATACAATGAATCGTAATCATCGTCTTATTTCTGTTGTTGTGAGTAATATAATTTTGTTATTTTGTCACATATTTGTTGCATTAATATGACTTTTCATCACACTCATATATTATTTAGGCTTTTCATTATCTGCATAGTTTTCGTTGCGTTTGACATCATGTAAATGTACATCTTCTAAATTTCGAAAGAAAATTTGTATTACCTGTGGTGGCTCATTGGTACATTTGATGACTTATTATGTTAAATTCGGGATTCTATCCCTGCTGTGGGCATGACATATTGTACAACTTTGTCCTTCATAATTTGAAATCATAATATTTTAATTAAAAGGTATTATAATAATTTCATTTTTATTTTGCTTATTTGACTAGAAATAAACTAAAATTACTCGGTGATATTACGTTCTTAGTATAATGAATACATTTTCTTCATACATGACTCATTTGTAGCCTTAGAAAATGTTCAATATTACTGCAGAGTTTGACTACGTAACTTATAAATAACAGACCAGTTTTTGGCCCACGTTTTTTGTTGAAAAAGGAATAATGTTTGTATGTTTTCTCAAGTTCTCTCGCATATACACTCTCACTGATTCTTCTATTTATGTGCATTAAGAGTTTCTTATAATGTTACACTTCAAGGAAGAAAAAAGTATTTACGATGAAAGTACATCTATCGCAATCCTCAACTAAACGTTATACATGGAAAACAAGTATTTCAACGTGTTAACTTTATAAATTACTGTAAACATCAAACTTACTGTATTATAACTTTATTTTAAAAGTACCAAAATTATCTTATATTTCTCAACTTTAAATATCTATAGAAGAGCATTATTGTCCATTTTCAAACAATTACCTTAGGAATGTCAAACATTTCAAGTTACCACAAAATTTAAACCGTCTCTGTGTTCCTATTAGGACGTTGTAACTTGGAAGTGGACCTTTTTAGATTTGGGTTTACAGAGTGATTATTGAACAATGACCTAAATGTGGTTGTATAGCTAGGGAAAACAATTCTTTTTTTATGCAATCCATCCGATTCAGTTCTAGCACAGTGTACTTCGAGCTCGTAGGTTACAAGCTTCTTGCTGTTAACCACTGTAGTAGTTCATTGCATCCTCTCTTTGAGTCAGAGTCCTGTAAATACAAAGTCACAGATTGAAGTCTCGTTTGCAATATGTCATCAGTCAATATGAAGCAGACCAGGACAGTATATGCCAAAATAGGATTTTGGCAATAACGTTTATTTTGTTACTTGTGTACCTATTCTTCATTTATATTGTTTTAAGTTAAAGTTAATTCTTCGAACATTGACTAACTATTCTGATAATCCTAATCTTTCTTTTCAATCAGTGCTCTACCTGACAATTAAATCTTCGAAGTTTTTCAATGTGGGACAAATGTACTAATGTGATTTATTTAACCAAGAATACATCACGTACATGTTCGTATTCATTATTGGAAATACATTCCCAATTCATAGTTGGATTAATGCAATATTTAGTCAAACGTTAACCTTGCTCCCATGTCTGTTTTCTTGAAAAGTTTCCAGTGTAAGATTTTTTACTGTGACAACAAACATACCAATGTTTTTTTCTTGTTGATTTGTCTCGTGTATAAATAAGAGTTTAAACGATACTCTGTTAATAATTGACACCTGTTACTAATCTTAATTTTATTCAAACTCTTCGCCATAGAAAACATAGTACAACATATTAAATATCAACAATCTTTATTTTCATATCAAATAATACATTAGGCTACAAAATAGAAATCAACTTATCCAACTCTCGTGAGCTTCATTCGCTTAAAAATACATTTATATTTATACACCTATTTTCTACATTTCCACCAAATATTATTTACCTTTATTCCTAGATTATTTTTCGAACTTTCATTGCACTTGAAAACAGTCAATATTATTTTTCAAAACTCTTTGAATTGGCCTTTCGACCTTTATTCCTAGATTTGGTACATTTTGCAAATGGTGACATAATTTATCCTTACATATCTTGATATAAACGAAACAGCCTTGGTTCATACTTAACCTCTTGCTATCACGGTGTTTCGTAAAACCATATTTTCTGTGTTGTAACGAAATTATACAAATTAGAAAACAGGCAAGCGAAATAGCCACTGTGATAATAGTTATTTTGGTGACGCCATAGGGTATTTTTTGCAGAACAAAATATACCTATTACAATCAATTTAGCGTAATATAGTAATAACTCAAACAACAAAGTTCGTTCCAGTCATAAGTACTGAAGGAAAAAAAACTTGTTGCATGAGCTTAAAAACGAATAAAAATTAAATATATATAAATGATTTCACTCTAAACATGCAAAAAATTGAACATTTCATATGAGAGATTACATCTGTAAAACTAATCTAGAAAGAATAACGTGCACAAGCTGGGGTTGCGTGTAAAATCTCTGCGTTATTATATAATCGGGGTGCACTATATGGTTCATCGAGCAATCATACACACGGGGAGAGTAATGTGCACAAGTTAAAGTTGCCTGTAAAAACTTTGTGTTCTTATAGTCAGGCTATGCTACATGTTTCACTGTGCAGTCAAGCACAAAACACAGGGAAAGTATTGTGTGCAAGCTGAAGTTGCGTCTAAAAACTTATTGTACAATCAGGCTAAACTACATGATTCATCACGCAGTCAAACAAATAGGGAGAGTAATATTTTCAAGATATAAGCTGAATTTCTTTTAGGCTTGGTATTTTCTTTAATGGAAAGCATTTTGCTTCCACACATCGTCAATAAAAAAAAAACTAAAAATATCACTATTGAACGTATTTTTGTGCCTTTTAATTATATAATTATTTTCCTTTTCTCTAAACTAACCTCACTGTATATCATTTTCGACAACATTACTTAAAAAGTTTACTACTTAAATGTATATATAATACCTAACATAAAAAGAAGATCTTTTGAGAAGATCTTTTCGTAAATAACTCACTATGATCTCCTCTAAAACATTATAAATCACATGCCAATCTGAATTTTCTTTTATGCTGATCCAAGATACAGTCTGTGATTTCGTCATTTGAAACAATAGTAAATAATATATATATATATATATATTAGTCCCGTTAGATCATCACCACATTTTTTACGGTTAGGAAGATAGCATTCATGAATTTTATTATTTCATAATTTTGATACCCCCTTTTTATTTCTCACCGGTTTTTTTTTTCATATTTTATTTACCTAATATAAAAATAGGGAAAAAAACAAATTTGACGAAATCAGTATTCGCACAAAAGCAATAAAACTTGGTTCAAACTACCAAGAATATTTTCATTTTCTGTAATTTAGTTCTAATTTACATGGGAGTAGACTATACAGACGTAGTGAAAAAATTCATACATTGCAGATTTTTGCTGAACTAGTTAAGCCGCCTGCAAAGACCAACATTGTATAAAATTTTACCGATTATAGCAAGGTCAGTGTTGATGCCAGTAAAACGAATTAACAACTTTCCAGCTTAGTAGTAATTATAAATTAAACAATAAAATTCAAAGTCAAGGCAATAAAAAGGGGGGTATTAACAGTAGTAACTCTCATATGCCAGTTTTATCAACAGTTTTATATCAGAATACGATAAATAAAAATCCTCACATAAAACTACGCTAGACATGCTGCGTTAGTGACACTTTCGCAGTATTTAGAATACTCATATTTGAGTAAGTTACGTAAAGCAAATGAAAAACCAACTTCTGTTATCCTATTCTTTTAGTATAAAATTGTACGTTAGTAAATGGGAAATATCTACTATAAATCTATTTACTATATATTATATATTACTATATATTAACTATAGCTATGTATAACACGGATATTTAGGGTTTTTGTGATTTGTGAATCGCAAATAAGGTATCATGCATTGCTCATCTTTTAGTAACAAATACACCAGGAAACTAACCGGAAGGAAAGTCTTCTGTAGATGTTACATTCTAGATCGCCAAAGTTACGACGATTATTGTAATAATAGTACAGTATTATAAAGTGAACCCTACAACCTTTTCTTGCACCTGCCGACTAACGTCAGCGGATTGAAGAGAAGTAGTAAAAATGTTTGGTTGTTCATCATCCAAATTTATTCTAGGACCAATTGATTTTATAAAGACATTCTTTCTATTGTTCAAATAGAAGATACATTTTTAAGGTTTTCGGCAATGGTAACATATTTATGTTCTTAGGAAGATGCGGACCGATTCCAAGAATCCCACGGATCACCAGCCGAGAAATGTGCTTAAGTAAGAGGGGCGACAAAGCGTTTTCCAGAAGAAGAGCCTTATGGCTGTCACTCATCAAAACAGATCGTTTTATGGCACTGACACTATATCCTTCAGCAGCATCTAAGATAAGTTCCATAATATGTTGAGATAATCCAAGATGAATACGGTGAACGGATTTTAAGATTCCCAAAGGGTGTTGTTGCTGAGTTTTCAAAAGAACTTTAGCTCCATAACGGAGAAGTAACCGAATTAAATCAATATTTGGTTGTTCATAAGCTTGAATGTATTCTCCTATCGGGGGTTTAACCAAAGGTCCGTGCTCACCCAAAGTGATAGCATTAGGATTAGCTCCACAGTCCAGAAGAATCTGTACGATCTCTTCTTTGTTATCTATCTTCTCAGACAAGGCAATGTGTAAAGGTGTACCGATGATTGGAGATCCAGTGTTGATGTCTGCTCCAGCGTTGATCATTAGATGGACTAGTTCCACATTGCCACGTAAGATAGCAAAGTCCAAAGGGGTCGGATTACGGTAACTGTGTGGGAATCGCACATTTGCGCCATGGGCAAGTAACAAGTAAACGATATGTAAATTTCCACTAAGGACAGCATAATGAAGCACGGTGCGATTATCGTGACGTTCGGAGGTCATTGCATTTACATCAGCACCGTAGTCAATCAAACACTTGACTGCATCTAGACCTTGAGGGTGACGCGCGGCTTTCATCAAGGGGGTCAGACCTGCACGGTCGCGTGCATCAGGATTAGCTCCATACTTCAGTAATAACTCAAGAAACGGGGTATTTAGGGGACTAATAAGATTGATTTCGGACCCAAGAAAGTAGCGAGCATTTGGGTCAGCACCATTAGCCAAAAGATGTTCTGCACACTCGAAATGCCCATTTTTAATGGCGAGTCGCAATGGTTCATCGGCGAGTGTTGCACGTGGGGGTTGCCAAGTGCCTCGTCGTTAGGCCCAAGGTGAGTATAGCTTACTCGAGCTTGGTGTTTAATGAGGAGTTTAACGAGATCATTATATCCTCGCTCAGAACACAAGTGAAGAGCTGTATAACCCACTTCGTCCATCGCATCCACATCGCTGCCTCGAACCAGCAACAAATTCAAAGCTTCCGTGTAATGTTGGTAAGCTGCATAATGAATAGGTCGCAGGCCCTGAGTGACTGGCTCATTAACCTTGGCACCACAGGCCAACAGGATCCGTATTTCATCCAACGGTGCACAGCGAATGATACTATCCGCCAGCTCTCGTTGGAGAGTCTGTAGACAAGGCACTGACGGCATGATTGCGTCTCAAATCTGAAACAAAAAAATCCAGCAATTTGAAAATTTGCCTGTTGATTTATACAGTATATGTGACGTTCCTTGCTTACGTTTGGTTAAGAGAAAGGAAAAAAACCGAACGAATGTAACAACACGTATAAAAAATATCTGTGAAATTATATCAAATTTAACATAAGTTTAAATGAAAAAACAAAAAACATAATGTAACGAAATGTTTATTACTGTAATTAT